TTTGTTTATTCAATTAACTTCTATACTACTGTCCTCCCTCCCTTATTATGAGTTAGAATCTACTTATCAGAGAGAACATTTGGCTTTTGGTTTTTGGGGATTGGCTTATTTCACTTAGCATGATAGTCTCTCAGATCCATCCATTCACTAGAAAATGTCATAAAGTCATTCTTCTTTATGGCTGAGTAATACTTCATTGTGTATATATACCACATTTTCTTTATCCATTCCTCTGTTGAAGGTGGCACCTAGGTTGACTCCATAGCTTAACTATTATGAAGTTACTGTTTATTAAAACAAACAAACAAAGAACAACAAAAAATTCTCTTTATGCATGGCCTACCCAACAGCACTAACATTGCAGAGTCAACCTAATGATGGAGTCAATGTTTCTGAGTTTGCACAGTTCTCCACATAATTTTGATGTGGGATATGGTTTCAGACTCAGTTTTAAAATAGCTCCACCCAGTACTTGCACCCTGCAAAATCCTAAACCAGATTTGTTTAGACACTTGCCAGATATTCATATGTCATAAAACACTAAGATCTCTAGTCCATAATCTAGATTTTGAGAAAGGAGCAAACTTCCATTTCTGATTGATTTTACTTGCTATTCCCTAAATCTTAAATAATTTTTCACTGTCCAGAATAATTTTGTCAATAATTTCTTAAACAGTCAAATATTTTAAAAGTTAATGAAGAAAAATATTTATATAGAGAGAAAGGAACAGTGAATTATTTAAAATATCCAAGGGAGGAAATGAATGGAGCATCATAAGAAGGAGGTTTTTTTTCCAGCTATTTTCAGTAGACACATGACATGATTTTACTCCAAAACTAGTAGATTTCTTTATAACTGAACGAATTCACTACATGCTACACTTTATATCTAACTAACCATTAAATATAATGTGTGTATTTTCATAATTTATTTTAGGACAAAAAGAAAAATATTAAAAATCTTTTCAAAACAAGGACTCAGTAAAAATGTGCAATTTACCCTTTCCCAACATCTCACTGATATGACAAAGATGTTTTACATAAAGGAATAAATCTATAAGAGAATTGATAATGGGATTGTTTCAAAGGGCTAGTGATTTTAATTAAATTCTATAGCATAAAGCAGTTTGTTTTCATTGAAATTCAAATCATAGAAGAACAATCTGTACATCTGACATGAAAAAAAGAAGTCTGAGATTCAGAATGGCCCTTGGTTGCTTGTTCCCTCCTCACCAAACTAAAGTTATATACCTGCCCATATATTTATACCTTAATATCCAACTTCTCATCCAGGCAAAGAAGAATTACAGTAATGGAACTTCCAGGTAGTTGAAGGAATGGAGAGTTGATTACATTATCAATTCTGCTTTTGTGTTATAACAATGAATAATCAAGAAAAAATCTAGATAACTAACAAAGAACCATCTGTTCCATGGGAGCATTATACTGAAATAAATCAACAAACTACATATATGCAACCACATGAATTCTTGGAAAGAAACAACAAAGGCTTCAATGTGGTTCATTCACTGCATTTCCTTGGTTTTAAGAGAACAAAAACAAAGAAAATGGTGGGGCTTTAATTTTGCCAATTGAACCTCCAGAAATATAGAATAATAATATTTTAGTTTAAATATATATCTACTTTTGTATCACTTAAGCCAAACAAACACTAAATAGCCCCCTGGAATTTGCCATAGTCAGTCTTAGGACTCAATCCCTGTAATAAGAACATATACACCTCAATTTAACAAAGGATGATTTCTTTATTAAAGAAATGTGAGGTAAGTTGACAAGCAGCAGCCATTCCAAATTTCAAATTTGAAAAAGAGTAATGCATTCTTGCTGTGCTTTTTGCATTAGGTTTATATTGCTTTAAAACATTTCACAAATAGTTACTTATGGTCTCATATGTGTAAGCAACTGTGGTATGTATGCAAGATATACAGAGAGTAATTAGGAATTCTAAATTGTAATCTTAAAGAGCTTTTTTTTACCCCAAATAAGTATTATCCAAAGGTGTTTATTGTCAAGAACCCTAAATATTGCCACTGTGAGCAAATGCAGGGTGAGGGTTAAAATGTAAGTATGTGTATGCTGGGAGCCATTAGCCAAGTAGGTATGACAATTTCCTTGCCAGCGTACCCCATGTTGCAGTGATATTGAATGTAGGTGACCTTGCTCAAGGACCAAGGCGGATTAGGGCGTTCCCAGTTTAGGTTCCAGGTTTAAGGTTTAAGATTATTCCTCCTGGGAATAGGGCGTATCCTGCTGCCTGAGTTCCCCTTGAGTTCTCACGGGATTTAGACAGTATTTTTTGGGAGACAGATGCCCAGTGGAGGTGGATTTGGGCAGAGAACGTGAATTTGGGCAGAGGAGGTGGATTTGGGCAGAGAACGTGGATTTCCCCAGAACGTGTTTGTAGACGGCTGGTGTGAGTTCGGGAATAAAGAGTTGCTGTTTGAATCTACAAGCTGTGTGGTGGCTCGTGATTGTGTGCCCAGCCAGACTGCGGCATTTGTGCCCAGCCAGACTGCGGCATGTGTATGTATATATATATATGCATAGCCACATACATATCATATAATGTGGAAATATTCAAGAACATTACTCTAATGCAAATCTAAATACATATACCATGTGTGCATATAATCTGGTAGCAATGTAAATAGATTAAAAATTGTCAGAGAGGTATATAGTTTAATCTGACACCTGTGTATAAAGAATCATCTGGTAGCTATGTTTGGAAAGGAAGAGGATATCAGAAGATGGAAGAGGTGAACAGCTAGAATTTTGCAAACACTGGTGATTGTAGAATTTAGGATAAGAGAATCAGTGGTATCAGTACAAATATGTATGGAGTTTCAGTGCTGGGAGACAAATGTCAAAGATATACCTGGACATCAATCACTAATTATATTTTAGAAGTATAGAGAATGAGGAAATACAACCTTCAAGAATTTTTCTTCCAGCTTCCTGGTGGGTACTATGGCATCCTATCATCTTACCTGAACTTGGTAGTAAACATTTAAGATTCCCCAAGACAAAGACACATTGAAAAAAATAACTTTGGATATTAAGAATTTTTTTAGCATTTTTTTCCTTTTTTAAAAAATTTTTTCTTTGCTGAGAAGAAGCTTTTTAATTTGAATAAATCCCAACAAAATGCTTCTTTTCACCAAAGGAAACAATCAATAAATGTGAGGAGAGAGACTACAGATTGAGATAAAATCTTTACCACATGCACCTCTGATAAAGCATTAATCTCTAGGATATAGAAAGAACTAAAAAAACTTCACACCATAAAAAAGCCCAACCAATAAATGGGCTAAAAAAGAACTACACAGACATTTCACAGAGGAAGAAATATAATTAGAAAATATATGTAAAAGTGTTCAACATCTCTAGCAATTAGAGAAACGCAAATCAAAATTATGCTAAGATTTCATCTCATTCCAGTCACAGGGCAATCTCAAGAACACAGGCAACAATAAATGTTGGTAAGGATGTGGGGCAAAAGGTACACAGAATACATTGCTGATGGAACTGTAAATTGGCACAGCTACTATGGAAAACAGTGTGGAGATTCTTCAGAAAACTTAGAATGGAACCACCATTCAACCCAGCTATTTCACTCCTCAGTTTATACCCAAAGAACTAAAAATCAGCATACTACAGCAATGTAACCATGCCAATGTTTATTGTAGCTCAGTTCACAATAGCTAAACTATGGAACTAACCTAGGAATTCTTCAATAAATGAATAGATAAAGAAAATGTGGAATATATATTCATTGGAATATTACTCAGCTTTAAAGAATAAAATTATGATATTTGCCAGTAAATGCATAGAGTTGGAGGATATTATGCTAAGTGAAATAAGCCAATCTCCCCCCCGCAAAAAGGCTGAATGTTTTCTTTAATAAGCAGATGTTAATGTACAATAGGGGGAGCACTAGAGAAGAATAGAGTTACCTTAGATTAGGTAGAAGGAAGTTAAGGGAGCCAGGGGAGGGGATATGGGGATAGGAAATATAGTAGAATGAAACGCACATTATTATTTTATATATATGTTACTGCATGACCAATATGATTCAACAACATGTATACTCAGAAAAATGAGAAATTATATCCCATCTATGTACAATATATCAAAGTGCATAAATGCATTCTACTATCATGATTAACTATTAAAACAAATTAAAAAAGAAAAAATGTGTTCAGATTTGTATTCTGTTCTGCCAACCTTTTTCCTACTCTGCCTACCCATACTTAAAATCTTTAATTTAATATATTAGCTTTTTGAATTAGTAAGGCTCTTCGATTGCCCAATAACAAATATGCACATCTAGAAAGGGCTTCAAAATTCAAGAGAGATAATGATAAGTAATTTATATCTTCTCTTTACTCAGAGGCAAATGAGTTGAGAACAACCACTCACTCTTTATCCATACCTTCACTGTTTTAATTGCCTTCTCATTGTATCCTAATTTCATTTCAATTTGTTTTTTCCTCATGTGATATGTGAGTTCAATTGCTCAAGAAGTGAAAGTCACCATTTCCTCCCCAAAACATAAAGATGTGATGACTGACCAATGTCCTGGGAATTTCTTCTATTTGCTCAAACACAAACCTGCCACCACTGTGGAATAAATGACTGAGGCCCAGCCTATCTGTATGAAGTATCATACTCAACTCCTTTGGATGTAATTACACTAGTACTCAATGTATTTACAAAGCAAGAAAATACAAACCATAAAGTGTTTCCACTTTTTTTTTCTGCTTTAATTATTCCACCATGATGAGAATATTTAATTGAAATTTCATACATGTTTCTGAATGAGATATACAAATGGTTTAAGTATATATTTAAGTACTAAAAAATTCATTAACATTTCATAACAATTCTAACTGAAAAACCCTTTCAATAATACTAAGGACAGTACAAATAACTCCACAATTTCATGACTGTTTTAATGAAACAACAGGTATTAATGACATCTAAATATTTCTTTTCAACATTTTTGTCAGTGCATCTAAGACTTGCTTGTTTCTCAGACTATAGATAATGGGGTTTAACACAGGAATTATGACAGTGTAAAATAGAGAAAGCATGTCTTGATCATTTGCTTGTGAAGATGCAGGATGCACATACATGAAGAGAAGGGGGCCATAGTATAAAGACACAGAAAAGAGATGGGCTCCACAGGTTGAGAAGGCTTTTCTTACACTCTTTTCAGACTTCTTTTTGAAAATTATAAAGAGAATTTGGGTATAGGAAATAAGAATAGTTCTTATTTCAATACAAAACTTTCTTATTTCAATACAAAACTTGTATTGAACCAGAGAAAACAAAAAGCATTAGATAATTAATAGAAGGATCATTGCATGAAATTTTTAACAGGGGTATAACATCACAATAAAAGTGATATATTATGTTGGAATTACAGAAGGTTAATCTGAGTAAAAAGCTTTCATGAAGTACGGCATGAAGAAAGCCACCTACAAATGACAAAACTAGTAGCCAAATGCATAGTCTGTTGGTCATAATCACAGGATACAGTAGAGGTTGACATATAGCTACATAGCGATCATAAGCCATTGCTGCCAAGAGGAAACACTCTGTGGTTGCACTGGTTGCAAACGAAAAAAATTGTACCATGCATTCAGCAAGAGATATGTTGCTCTCTTCTAGGAAGTTGACAAGCATCTTCAGGGTCACTGTTGATGACAACCAAGTATCCACAAATGCTAAATTCCCAAGGAAAAAGTACATGGGGATGTGAAGCTGAGGGTCATTCCAGATCAGAGAAATCAGACCAAGGTTCCCCACCACAGTGATGAGGTACATCACCAAGAACACCAGGAACAGGGGGAGTTTCCACTGTGGTTGCTGTGTAAGTCCTGTGAGAACAAACTCTGTCAGCAAAGTTGCATTGTCCTTTTCCATGTCATCACTGGATGTCCCCTGAAATGAAATGCTGTAAATGGGGGGAAAAAATTCAATTAGGATTTATTTTTTAAAAAAGCTGAAAAAGAGAAGTGGAGGAAAAAAAATTCAAGCTTCTCAGAATACCCTCCATTTACCATAATGATTAAAAAAACTATCTAATGAAAAAGAGTCAAAAGACATCAACTCAATGAAAAATAAAAGAAGCAACATATTTAGAGAAAATGAGTGGCTTCTAAACTTGAGATAAATTTGGGGGAAACTACTGAGGTGTTGAGATTTCTATATTTTGAATGAGAGTCAGCCCAAGGAAGAACTATTTTGATGGCCTTAATTTTAAAGTGAATTAAATTCCATCTGAAGGAAGTTAAACTTCTTTGTACTAAGATCTTTTAAGATGTGGAATGATGTGACAAATTATTTTTAAATAAAATACTTTGGTGTATGCAAAGTGAACTGTAGGAAGGGATCACTGAAGTTCCCTAATCAGAAAACTTAGCATTGTCCAGGGATTCCCAAACTAGTTTTATCTCTCAATGATCTAGGGGAGCTTTTTTGTAGAGAATATAAATTATGAGGTATTAATGGAGAAACAGAATGAGTAGTTCAAGAATGAGTTAAGGATCTGTACTTTAAAAATGATTTTCTGAACATGCCAATCTAAGTACATTGCCTCACCCATACATGATATGACATTTGTAGTAATAAGGAGAATGAAACCTGATTCAAAATGTTCAGAATTTCTGAATTATTTGAGTCATCAGGATTCAGTTATATATTTATTATTAAAGGGTAGTCAGTGAAGGTGAAAGCAGTCACTTGATGACTGGGCAGGTAGTCTGTAAGAATACAAGTAAGAATTTTGCTTCATTATGAAAATTGTGTAAGGAACAATCTCTCAAATCCAGGTGGAGTATGGTTCTACTGGGCACTAATAGAAGTTATGAACTAAATGTCATTGGAACAGTTGGAGGCATAATTATGTATAACATACCCCTTCGCATGTGTACACTAGGAGAGGGCAGATGAAAAATGTTGTGGAAGTTATATTAAAATATGTTATAATGTAAATAAATGTTGTTTATTAGATGACCAATCTGTCCCTTTCTAACATTCATCTTTTTGAAGGGCAAGGGTTACCCTTCACTTGAGAAGCCAAAAGTACCAGAAATTCACTTTCCCATGCCCTTGAACCTAGTGTAAGGATAATTGGTCTAGTTTTGCCCAGTGAAACTCACATATATACAGGATTTGGAATACAGAGAGAGAGACAAATATACACTTGCAAAAAAGAAATTGGATTATAAGACAACCAAGGCAATGATATCAAGACTCCAACATCCTGCATCTACAATGATTTCATTGTTGATGTGATTGTGACATTGGAGGTCAAATCAGTAATAGAAATCCTATTGAGACCATGCTGAGACATCAGTTTTGTTACTGTTTGGGGCCTATTTTTTTGTCCTACTTTTTCTGCCCAGCCATCATTCTGATTCCTCTAAGGCCTTGCTTTAAATCAATTTCCATTTAATAAACCCATTTCTTATTATGTCTCAGTGCCCTGGATTGAACAATAGAGAGACATAATACAGACCAGAAAAAAATGGTAAGCAGAGTTATCCTGGATGTATAGGGGAATCTGAAATGTTGAGTGTTATAGACATAAAAAATAAAAAAATACTGAAGAAGAACAAAGAAAACAGTTCTAAGTACCATAATTAATAATCTAGTAGGACAAGAAATCAACAAGGATATTTAAGTGCAGAAATTAAGAAATCCATACTAAATTTAGCAAGAGTAGTTTCTTTTACGTGAATCAATTATGCTCAGAGAATTATTGAAAGTACATGGGAAACAAGTAGCACATCCGGAAAGAGAATGGAAGCGTGCACTCTAAGTAATGAGGAGGAGTTGGCATTTTCATCCTGCCTGCAGTCAAATATAATAATTCTTCCTATAGGACCATTTTAATCAAAGTTTCATAAAAGAAAAAAATAAGGAAGGAGAGGAGAACTGGGACAGAAGTAGAAAAAGAATTTGTGCAGGTGTGAAGAAAACAAGAGGTAGGAAGAAAAATACTAGGGACAAATATGGATAAGTGCAGAAAAGTCAAAGGTGAGGGGGAGTTTCCAAGAAAGGCTGCACATGAGAGGCAGGGAAAGATTCAGGGATGCAGGTGTTTATCTTCACTCTGGAATTCAATAAAAGTTTGTACATCAAGGGAATTCCTCCCCTTTGCTTCTGTTAAAATTCAATTTTCCCATGGAGGTTGAGCACAAAAGAGAGATCTGATTTAAATTTTGTTTTAAATATTGTGGGCTTTTTTTAAAAAAATAAATACACTACAATTTCATGAACATCTTTCCATATTTAAAGTTGCATTACCTTTAAATACAAGAACAACATGAAAACTGTAACTTTAATAATTAATACTACTTTATTGTATACAAGAGTGTGCCAGGAGAGTAAGTAACTTATGAGATGGTAGAATGCAATTTACTTGACTATTTCAATATGTCATATATGACTATGTTCATATATGTAAAAACACAGTGTGGTACCATCAAATATATAGTGTAACAAATTTTAACCTCACTACCTTTGTTATTGCAGTAATTAAAATGGACTTTTTCAATTAATCTTTCTTGCTTAACTTGAAAGTACTTTCCTCACCCACTAGCATTCTAACCAGAATAATATGTAACCCAAAACAGGAACCTGAGAAAGGAGATGAAAATAATCAGTACCAACAACTACAGTTTGTATGCATTCTTATTTGGGTTGGGATTCCTTCCACACAACTCAGAATCACTTGAACCAAGTATAAAATTTTAGGACCACATTGATGAGATAAGCTTTGTGTCAGATCTCTGTTAAAATTAAAGAATTTCATATAGATATAGATGAATTTCATATAGATATAAAAGAATTTCAATAGATATAAATGAAGAAAAATAAAAAAATAATAATTTGCACAGAAAAAAGATTAAATGAGATAATATGCATAACATTTTGACACATATTTATTCACTACTAAAATTGTGTTGCATAAAATGCTTTCGTTCATTTAGCTTTTATTCTTACTTTAAAACAATAATTTTTTCATAATACATTTTAAAAAGTAAATTTAGTTAGTCAGAGGTTACACTATGTTTGTAGCTCTCCTTTTTTTGTTTTAATTAGTTATACATGACAGTAGAATGCACTTATATACTTTGATATATCATACATAGATGGGATATAATTTCTCATTTTTCTGAGTATACATATTGTAGAATCACATTGGTCATACTGTCACATATATACAGTAATAATGTTTGTTTAATTCTACTATTTTTTAAATTTTTATCATAATTGTCAGAAATATTTGTTATATAGCCATAATCATGACTTCAACCATTAAACCTAATTTTAAATTGTTCACTATGTTAGATCATCAAATAAAGTCATCACTAAGTTAACAAGATAATAAACAAATCAGTAAAGAGAACAAAACATTCTTAGTGTATTTTTGCTTACCCAAATTTTAGCACAAAAGTAAAGTTGAAGATAGTGTATTGTTTTCCATATTTACCTGGCTCTTTTGGTATCTTCTGGGCCCAATCTAAAGGTTTCCATATAAACAGTAATTTGACCTTTCATATAAAATTTTTAAAAAATTATAAATGATTTATCTCTTATCCATATATTGAAAAAAATTTGGGGAGATTTTTTAAAAGTATTAGGCCATATGAAATAGAAAAATTACAGTAGCACAGCATTGATGATAACAAGTCTCAATTGTTTGTCCACTTACTCATTTTGAATGCTTAATTTACTGGTCTCAAGAAAATGTTGTTTATATAAGGTCTACTTTGAACACAAAAGTCAGGCAGTGTACAACTGTGTGCTCCTTCCAGAAATGGAAAAAGTAGAGACCTAAAATTCCCCTCAGAGAACCAGAGGGTTCCCCGTGGACAAGTGAAGTAGTTCTACTGGGCACGGTGGATTTAGATATGTATGAGAACTTCAGGTAGTCCCACAAGCCTCACCAACTCTGGAATCATAAACATTGAGTCACAATTGTTCTAGTTAACAATAAAAATTGCACTTCATTTCAATATCTTCCCATAAAAAGATATTTCTAACCTATTTATGGAAGCTTCAGTTTACATTAAAATGTGCAATTCTGAGTGATTTGATTAGTATGGTTCTGTTTGAGCTCATCAACACATGATTTTACTTAGGCAAAGATCTTATTTCCTTCAGAGCCAACCTAAGTACACTTGTCTTCCTCATGCAAACTGGAGCTTAAATAGCAACCATGTGCCTAGGTGCCCCATTCTAAGCTCAAATCTGATGAGTAATATTACTAGTCAAATGTTAAAGGGAATAGCTTAAGAAAACCAAGGTTCCTCAATGGGAGGTGAATGTCCTAGAGATCTTGTGAAAACTTGTATTTGTTTCAGTATTTCTAGGTGGAGCTTTGGAGTCTTTACTTTATGCACTATTATACCAGTGGACACTTGCTAACTATAGGGCCTTCAATTGTATGAGAAATCCTTAGACAAATTATTAGACAAACAAAAAATTGTAAATGTGACTGGCCTGCAAATGGAGAAGTTGGAAGGAGACATATGTGCTCAGGAGATCAGCATCTATTGGATTTCAAAGGGCCTGGGGAGCTTCATCAGGGATTTTAATTTTTACCCAGCTGAAAGGAAAGCAAATGATATTATGAATATGGTAGTAACATGTTCAGGTTTTCTTCTGAGCATAAACAAAGCAGCTTACAACTGAGTCCTCTTTCAGAAAAAATAAACCTAATTATATTTATTTTTGATACCTGAGTACTCATGTCATCATCTCTGCAGTAAAAGGATATGAGGTATTTTATTTGTTTGTTTTGTTGTTCTTGTTTGTTTTAGCAGTGCTAAGGTTTAAAATCAGGGGCTCATGCACGTTAGGCTAAGCTTTTCCCCCAGCTCATAAAATGATATTTTTAAATAAGAAGGTTAATCCATCATTTGGCTAAT